TGGAAGATTCCAGGGGCGACGCTTACTCCGAATTGGAGCCGGTTGCATTTAAAGGCGCCCCTATGTGTTACGATCGTTTGCGCCTCAGCTGTGGTTGGGTCTACAGGCAATTGTTGATATGCCTGGGCTAAATCTAGTTTGGCGAAAACTTTCCCGCCGCCCAGAGAATGGAGTAAGTGTTGCACTACCGGTACTGGATAAGCACTTTGCTGCAGTGCGTGGTTTAATGTGGCCCGGTAGTCTCCGCAAATTCTTAGGGACCCGTCAGGCTTGATAGGCGTCACTATCGGGGTTTCCCAACGGGCGTGGTCGGTGGGTTCCAGTACGCCCTGCGCTATGAGCTTATCGAGTTGTTCGTCAATTTTAGGCTTTAAGGCGAACGGCACCCGACACGGCTGAAGGCGGATGGGTGCTATTTCAGGGTTCAAGTTAAACGAGATTGGGGTCCCCTTATACTTGCCTAGTCCGTTCGCGAAAACGTCTTTGAATTCTTGCACGAGTGCTTCCTCCCAATCGACGCTTTCGGCCTTGTGGACTCTGGCTACAGTGATTCCGAGCGGCCTGAACCATTGCAGGCCTAGAAGACTAGGCCTGTCTCGATCCATGACAGTCAGTGGTAGTGCGACGGTGCGGTCCTTGAATGAGACCTGGAATCTGCGGGACCCGACAACGGGGATTCGATTGCCCTGATAGTCTTTGAGTATAACCCTTTGAGGGTTAAGGTCTTGGCAGCGAATCGTTGGAAGGAGCTGTTGGAGCGTTTTCCACGACACCGTCGAGAGGGAAGATCCCGAGTCTACCTCCATCACGCAAGGTTTGTTTTCGATGGCGACCTTTACTCTGATTTTTCCGGCATCAAGGGATGTAGCGTGGCCTATGGTGATTGTTTGGTGGGTCTCTTCCCGCCGGGTTTCTTCACGCCTGGTGGAAGTGGTGGACGGTTTGTTTCTGTAGGAGTGGTTTAATTTTGTTCGGTGTGTGCCGAAGAATCCTGAAGATTGGCATTCGGCCTGTCGGGGTTTGGCATTTTATTTGCTTCTGCAAACCTTTGCGATGTGACCTCGTCTCCCGCAATTTCGGCAGAGCGCGTCGAGGAATTTGCAGCCGGATCGTGGGTGATTGGACCCACAACCGGCACACGGTCGAAAGGAGTGTTGTGTGGACTGGTCTCGCTCCGTTCGCAGTCGGTTGACCTCTTCCTCATCGCTGTCGGACGGGGACTCTAGGTCTTCGTGGTGAGTTGATACCGGGTGTCTCTCTGAGCGAGGCGAGGTATCAGTGGCGAGTTTATGTAGCGGTGCGTTGGTGCGGCGCATTCGGGCTGCCGACTTCTTGGTTGCCTCTGCTGCCGACGCTTCTTTAAGGGCATCGTTGAGACTGATGTCCCCCTTAGCCATAATTTTACTCTGGATCGTGCCGTCTTCTAGGCCTAGAACCAAACGGTCCCGGAGAGCTTCTTCTAAGTCTGCGAATCCGCAGAGGCCTCCAAGGTTTCGGAGGTCTGCGATATAATCAGCGAGGCTTTCGCCTTTCTGTTGGTCCCTCCGGTAATATTCATGTCTTCTGACGAGGGTTGGCACCGTAGGTGCGTAGTGAGCCCGTAGTAAAGGCTCGAGGACGTCCCAGTCCATCTCTTTTACCTCTGCTGGCCTGTCAAGTGACTTTGCCATCTTAAACATGGTCGGGCCGCAGTGAGTTAGAAAGATAGCTCTTTTTTTCCCCACTGTTGCATTTTTTAGGTTGTTGGTCTCCAGAAACATCTGGAACCGATCCATGTATGACTCCCAGTCTTCGGTCTCTGGGTCGAATGGAGCGGGTGGTACGACACCGCTGGCCATGTTGCCGTTGATGGTGCGTGATCAACCACGTGCTCTGTAGGTTGCTCTGTAGATTTAGTCAGCTCTTCGGTCTCCGCATCCCACCTTCGTCGCCAGTGTTAAGTTTGGAGAATAAGGAGACCAGACATCTGACCAGTGACTTCAACTCTTTAATAATAACAGGAATCAGAATGGAACAGAGCAATGCTATGGGCAGCAGTAACCCTTTTATAGGGTTAGTTGCTGCCTTATTAACCAATGAAAATGTGCAATCAGTTCAAACTACTAACCAATAAGAACAGTCCCAAAAGTGGCCAATCAGGGACTGGTTCTGGCCCAATCCCAAGTTGTTGTACAAGGACCAATCAAGTGTGCAGGTTTTCAACCCCTAATTTGCATTTAGGTTATTCACTTTTATTGATTCACAACACTCACCCCCAGTTTAGTGAAGGGGGGGGGAAGTCCTGCTATGTCAGGTGATGCCATCATGACGACGTGAGTTTGACAGCCCTGAAACTTCCAAAAGGCTACTGAACTTAGTTCCCATTGGTTCTACAGATTGGAGTTGCTAAAAGTTATACTTCAAAAATATTTGAAGAATCGCTGTTTTCTCATTGCTGTACTGAAGACTGCAAATGAAACTTCTCTTAATACAAAAGTCAGATGAGAAAGTAAGAAGTGTTTAGTTTATAAAAATGTATGGTCACTGGTCACTTTCAGAGATGAATAATAATGCATGGTGGCTTCATCACATCTTGTCTGTCCCTTAGTACTTCGAAATAAAAATGTACAGAGTGAAATCCATGTGTTTCTGAAATATGAAAAATAATTAAATCTTCAGTGTGACTTTCTAAATTAAATCTGTGGCTTCTTATCACAGACAATTTCCTGTGAATATTAGCTAATTTAATATTTCCTTTTAAAGGTTAGGGTTAGGGTTAGGGTTAGGGTTAGGGTTAGGGTTAGGGTTAGGCAAGGGAAATTAGATCAGTTCCTACATATGAAGTGGAGCCAAAGTATCATTTAAAATTTGAAATGGTCAGCTGGATCAATAACTTTCATTGAAAGTAATAAATCTAATCAGTTACAATATAACTTCAAGAACTCTTCACAAGTTAACACTTGAGGATACCAGTCTGAGAAAGGGTGCTCTATTTATCAGAATTACTCAGTAAAATTGAAAGAAAGACTATCCTCTCTCTCTGAAATAATTTAAATTTAAAATGGAAATGGCATTCTTTGACTATGGGCTTGCAGCTTTTTCTTAATACAATTCTGATGTCTCTTGCAGTTCACTGTAGAATTGATTGCTATTTATTGTGATATAAATGTGGATTATTTTATTTAATAAAGATGTATATTATTACAATATCTATTAGCAATCATAACCAGACAGCAAGAATAAGATGTTTCTAATAATGTATTTGATGTGGGCACAGACAGGCTAGCATACCAGCTGATAGTAGATTATCAGATGATTTGTTAGTTTGCCTGTGCCTCACATCAAAATTCTTCTTTTTTAAAGCATGTCTTTAGATAAGAAACCAAAGAGACATCAAGTGGACTCCAATACTTACAAAGCAGCTGGAAGCCTTCCATCCCATAATTAAAGACTCCTAACCCAGACTAGTTAAACAAAACCTAAGAATCTTGGCAACAATTTCTAAGGGAACCAGCTTTGCCATATCTTGTTCTATGAACTCAAGAGTCCAAAGCTGTAAATTTCCCTTGACTGTTCTTCTGCCCATATTTTAAGGAAGGGGAAAAATAATGGATAACACTGAACATTATGGATTCAACTGTCAGCTCTTGAGAACAGAGCGGGCCCTGCAATTTAGGGTCACATTATGTTCTAAGGATATTCTAAAAACTGATCATTTTGATGGATGTTTCATGGAGAATAAAGGAGTAATTGGCTGGGTTTTTTGCAATATGGCTGGGTGAAACATGGTTATATAATGTGCAACTTGCTGTGTTAGGATGGAATTTAACAAAGAATTTCAGGGAGCTTTTAGAATTACCGTATTTGCCGGCGTATAAGACAACTTTTTTGCCCCGAAAAACATGCCTCCAAGTGGGGGGGTCGTCTTATACGCCGGTATATCCACTGCCGGCTTTCGGATGCTTGTTGGACGCAGCGAAGGCGCCTCTGGCTTCCTGGATCCCCTGCGTCGCTTCCGCTTCATCCCGCTCGCCTCGCTCCGCCCGAGGCTGCAGCCTTCCTGCTCTTCCCACGGCCCCTGGCACTCTGCCCTGCCGCTGCAGCCCCGGGGATTTCTGGAGGGCGTTTCCGGTGGTGGTGGGGGGTCGTCTTATACGCCGGGTCGTCTTATACGCCGGCAAATACGGTATCAAGAAAACAGAATTACAATATTTATAAGGATATTGAAAATTGAAACAAACCCAGAAAAATAAGGAAATATTACAAGAGATTTCCAGGTTTCAAACTCAAATTGATATGCTAAGGAATTTATTTAATTAAAAATGGTTGATTAAAAAGATAGTGTCTGGATTCATATGTTGCATGAAACAAAATAAAAAGAAACACATTTGCACAATGTGTGAATCTAGCCAATTATAATGCCTTGTCAGGTTATTTAGTTATAAATCATTCTTACTGTGGGCCAGCAGGCAATTTTCACTTCATTTTTATACATGACTGCCCCCCCCCCCTGCCAAAATGTACCTTGGTACGCTTTTTATCATCTCTGAATTTGCAAGACTCAAAAACAAACTCCCTGAAACTGGTTCCTTTAATCAAAGACCATATCACTTGGAACCTGTGGAATTGAAATAAATCATATGTACAGGCTACCACATTGGGAGAAGCTACTCTAAACTTGCCAGTGGCTACTCTCAGAAGCATCTTTACTATGCTTCTGTTTCATTCCAGCTTTGAGAAAAAAAAGAACCCGTAAAGTTCTTCTAGGTTTTTCCTAAGAATTCAATCCCTAAAGGTTTTGTGCATATCTCCATGAAATTTTCTTGAATACTCATGCTCTTCTTCTGAAATATTTTCTTGGTTTACAGTTTAGTCTTTATCCTGGAATTATTTAGGAACCTTAGCTTTTCCCAGATTAGCCAGGTCAAATAGGTATTGCCACCTAGCTGGACCAGCAAGGAGAAACTGGTATAGCCCTGGGCCATCTTCCTCTTCCCCCAAATGCAAATAGATACACTTACATGAGAGCCACCTTCACGCTGTGATCCTGGCCCCAGTGTGGAGCTGGTGAGGATAGGTGAATTTGAGGGACTACAGAGTTCTGGAAAAGGGTTTGGGATAGAAGGCAAAGATAAGGTATGAGGCTTTTCCTCCTTCATTTTTCTAAAGGAAAAGAATGGAAATATTGTTATAAATGGGTTAGCTACTAATAGGACATCTGGGTTAGTTAATAATGTCATCACTATTATTATTATTGGAGTAGGTGTTTTTTTCCTAACTAAGTTATTCCCTCAGAGCTAATCATGTTGTCTATATGCATAGCATGGCTATTATTGAAACACAAATGTTTGTGCATCTACCAAAGTATCTCAGGCATCATAAAAGGCAAAATGCAGTTGTACATATTTATTTGAGCAATTACCAGTAAGTCAAAGTGCCCTACATGATATGACAAGTGGTCTAGACCCATAATTCAAAATCAAGTGTTCCGCATAGAAACATGGTGGATACAGTTGAGGGTGCTGTACAGTAGTGGAGGTTTTTAAGAAGAGATTGGACAATCATTTGTCTGAAATGGTCTAGGGTTTCCTGCTTGGTCAGGGGGTTGGACTATAAGACCTCCAAGTTCCTTTCCAGGTCTATTATTCTGTAGCAGAACCAAATACACATGAGACACTCATTATCTCTTGGAAATCTCTATTTTTTTCTGACACTTTATTTTTTTTTACCCCACAAGCAGTAAGCTTCAGAGAAGAGTCAGATAATTCCTACCAGAAGTCTGAGCTCATCTCTTGCATATAATTATTTCAGATCAATATATCACATTCAGCACTTATTGCCCAGACTTTAGATCACTCTGCACTTGTTCACAAAGAGCTCATTCAACATTTAGTAGACTCAGCAAACTTGCTATATCCAGTTTTGTGTGCCACTAGTACTGGGAGCAGACAAGAAAGCAAATATTTAATTCTTTTGGCTTTTTCTTCCCCAATCCTTCTGTGTCACTTCAGGTTTGTAATCTATATGCATGGCCATCACTGAGGAGGAACGTTTGCACATCCACCAAAGCATCTTGAGGCACCACAAGAGACAAGGTGTGCAGATTTATCTAAGCAGTTATTCAAAATGGTCTTCATGACATGAAATGGTTTAGCACTGCAGTTCAAAATTAACTGATTCTCAGTTTCAGAATTAAAATGAAATCAAGTACCTTTAGATCAAGAATGTATAAGAAAGTACATCACAATGAGTAGCAGAATGGCTGATTCCAACCATGTCTTTATTTTGACCCAAATGGTCATTGGCATGCAGACTCAGCAGTTATCCCAAAGGTAGCGTGATCCTCAACAGAAAAAAGTTATCTATCATGTCAAACGAAAGATTTGCACGCTGCTTATAAACTTTGGTTTTAATATTTCATTTTGATCATTTGATCATTCATTTTGATCATTTATTAAGCTCATGATGAGCTTAATAAACTGTAGATAAAACTAATAATCTATTTCACTTTTTCTACAACTAAAACAGAAAAAGCTATTAGCCTATGAGCCACATTTCATTTTTTTCTATTTATAGATGAGATACAGACATAACTTGGACAATAATTAATTCAAAATATAGAAAGCAGATTTCAAGACTCCCCATAATTTCTTCTATCTTTCAGTTATGTGTAAAACACAAGGCAGAGTCATTGTATTAATAAGCTTATACTCTGTTCATGTTCAGAAATAATTTTTGATAGTTATTTCTGGCACTGATATTGATTCCCACAGAAAGCTGAAAGATCAGACTAAATTTTCTCGCCACTGATTTCTACTTCTATAAAAACAAGCCTTTTGTGTTATCACAATGATTTTTCTCCCTTGTAACATACCTATTTGCTTGGATGAACAGAGGTTGAGAACGCTTGATCACATCAGTGTGGGTCAGAAAGTTGCTCTGCTCATCGTTGCAGAGAGGATTGTCATTGGAAAGGATTCCAGTATGATCAGGTGGCAGGGCACCTTCATAAGCATTGCCCAACATCCTGTTAAGAGTTTTTTTGGGAATTCCAAGATCCATGTCATTATCTGTAACAAATAACAATTTGACTAACTCTTCCAAAATAAGATGATGCAAATAACCAGGTAGAATAAAATTCTGAGAGGTAAATGCAAGTTGTTTTTAAAGCAATTCTTCAAAACATTATCACATTTCATTTTCTTTTTTTTACATTAAAAGTTGCTGTTTTTAGGAAGTGGCAGGATCATGTAGTTAAATATGTTCACACTAAAGCTGTGTAACACTTCATATTCAAAGGGCACAAAGATGTGCATGGTTAGTGAAATGGTTAATGGTGATGGTTAATGAAACAAGTAACCACATTTTTTCCAATATTATTACAATTATCTCATTCTAGCTTAAATTAGACAGTAAAATTCAGCTCAAAAGTTGCTTATTTGTATGAATCACCTTCAAGTTTTCAAAGTGACATATACAATTAAAAACATTGTGCTGCTGAAAAAATGCATTGTTGCAATCTTTGGTAAATTATCTTCCCTGAGCTAATTTTCATAGGACTACAGGAGCATAATAAATGGAGTTATAACCCAGCAATCTCACCAAGGCAATTAGTCAGCGATCTGGTTGACATGAAAAAATAGCATACAGGTAACCAAATGAATCCATATCATTCTCTTCTCTAACTTCACAGAACAATATCAGCTCTAGAATATCTTGATACGAGTATTGTCAATGGGTTCCCTTAAACTCAAATATTATAATAATGAGGTAAACCATACAGAAGGCACACAGCTAATTGTACAGTTGATTCAAGTCCCAAAGGAGAATAGAAGCTTCAATTTATTCTTGTGAATAACGAGTATAAGATGGCAGCATGCAAGACAAATTTGCATTAAAACAAATAAGATTTGTTTTAACCATGGTTTCTTGAATAATGAAACATATGATTATGTTAAGTTATAAACTCATCAAATTGTGCCAAAACAAAGCAAGCCACATTATGGCTTAGTATAATATGTGACAAATAGCCATTGAATTTTCAGTTTTATTTAATACAGGGAAACTTCAATTTTTGAACATTTATTTCCGCAGTATGTGGAATATAATGTTCTATATGAGTTGCAGGACAGTCTATTACTTGGAGTTTTGTTTTTGTTTTTTGTATGCAACTATCCCAATGTATACTACGTTGAAACACAGTATTTTTATTTATTTTGATTTGATTTAACCCAACCTTATTTATAAGTAACAAAGTGGCCACTGTACATAACAGTTCTTGCTGTTGTTGTTTTCTTCATAACAACAACCCTGTGAGATGAGTTGGCTTAAGAGTGAGTGAGTGAGTAGCCCAAGGTCATCGAGCCAGTTTACATGCCTAAGGCAGGGCTAGTAATCTCAGTTCCCTCGTTTCAGCTTAACACTACACCAAATTGGCATTTTTACACAAATCCCCAAATATAATCTGATTTATATGCAATTTTTCCAAATATAAGCCGTTGCTGCCATTTGGCTCTGGCTTTTTTGCTTGTACTTCATTGAAAAATATAATATCCAGTATATGCATTAATATAAACTTAATGATTATTGTAATATGAGAGAGTGGTATAAGAGAATCACATATGCAACAATGCATTGACAGAAGATTCAGTAAGAGTATAACAATGAGGTTATACTCTTGCAAATTATAATGCTAGTGCTGCTGTATGAATTAATATTAAGGTCCAAATTATAGGTATATTTCTGAAAAGAAAACAGATTGCAAGAACCAACATATGAAATAGCCTCACCCAGCCTGATTCCTTTCCAGATGTATGATCTTCAATGCCCAAATTCTCCAGCTACCATGGTTACTATTGTCAATAATGAGAACTAAAATCTATACTTCTGAAAGATTGGGAGGAAAACTACCCCGTAATATACAAGATTCTTTCCCAGATTTTAATTTTCAGAAGATGCTTCCAGCCCCTTTGATATACAGGAAAAATGCAGAAAAATAATTTTCTACCCAATTTTTCAGGTGATATTTATCATAGTTTTTGCAGGTACTTTATCAAACCTGCTGTACTTTTCTGACAAAGAAAAAGCTTTAAAACCATTAAATTTAATAGATTAGGCAACAGATCTACTAGGAAGATGCATGACTGAATTAATTAGGATGTACACCTGGGTAAAACTGTGTAGAATTATAAACATCATTCAGATAAAAAAACTGTCTAGGAAATGAAGAATATGCAAAATTAAATTGAAAAAATAAAGGTACATACACTGAGTTCATCTGTGTCAAAAGAAATTGGTGACTTTCAGTCACATAGGGTCAATATAGCTATAAATCTAAGTGGATCCAAGCACTATTAACCTTAGAACCTTGTGCCAGTTCGTATAAGGCTTCATGTGAGATAAACATATTTCACTGTCAGCCTCTTTGCAGGTATTTCCTCCCCAAATTCAACAGATAGGCCAATGGGAAAATGCCTAGTTAATAGTCACATTCCTATTTATCATTTTTGATTCAGATGTATACATGCTTTTACATAGAATTTAAATTTTAAATTTTTTAGAATTTTAAATTCTAGAATTAAAAAAAAAAAAAATCTCTCTCCTCGCTCATTTCTTCATTCACCCATGATTTCATTATCAGAATCAGGTAAAGGTGACTCAGGAGTTCTTCTTTGGGTCAAAGAAGCAATGATGACAGAGTTCAAAAAGCAATTCAGGTGGCACAGGAAGTTATCAGAAAGTCTAATTTCACACGCCCTTTGTTGTATTGTGCCAACCACTTTTGTACCTCATGGTGAAACTATGTTTGTTGCTCCAATGTTCTCATGAATGACGAAGTGGCTGGGTATATTTTGATAAAGTACTCCACAAAAGTCTTTGTTGTAAATTACCAGTTAGGCTTCAAGATGATACAAGAAAATCTGGCCAGCCATATGGAATTTTGCTTAACCTGAATCACTCTTGCCATTCACAAAGAGCAGAGAGAATTGTGGGGACATTTAAATCTTGTCCTTTCATGGGAAACCCTCCTAAGAACGGATATTTTGTCAGTTCTAGTCAAAGACTTTCACGTTTGCCATCTCAGTGGGAAAAACTACAAATAACAGCCTATTTGTATTCAAGTCCTCCCTTAGTGATGAAGTGGGGCGACCTTGGGCCATTATTCTTTCTCAGCACAATCTACCTTACAAGACTGTTGTTATGGACAAAATAGGAGGAAGAAACAGGATTTGTAAAATGAAGGAGGGATATAATGAATGAATGAATGAATGAATGAATGAATGAATAAAAAAGTCTTGACCAGTAGGTTTACACAATTCCAAATTACCAAGAGCTTCACAACCACAAAACCACAAAAACTACTACTTTATGCAACAATTCTGTACAGATACATCTGCCCTCACAAATCAATGTAAATTATTTTTGAGCTTTTGAAAGGCATTCTTAAAACTATTCCCCTTACAAAAATTTCCCGACAGATTGCATGGGCACGCTTTTTTGCCACCAGATAAATATTGGCTATTTATAAGCCTGTCTGACAAAAAGCGTGAAAGGGACAAAGATAAAATCTGTACATTTCTTCATTCTCCCAAGTGGAGGCTAAACAATCAAAGGCTCTCTGGTTAAGGAAAGGCCTCTGGCCTCCTCCAAAACAAAACAATGGCACACTCTGGACTAACCACTTCAGATTCCATGAGTGTGAGAGATCACATGACCAAGCAGCTCTAAATTCAACAAGAGAATTAAGCAAGCTGGTGAAATCTGGAGGAGGAGCCTACAAAGCATTTAATCATATATATTCTCCACGCTCCCTAGTCTCTACTTTGAAGTGGCATATAGGCACATTAGCAAACTAGGTCAACAATGCAGCCATGAACAAATAAATATGAATAATGATCTAAAGGTAACTCAGTGGTTAAATTGGTCCCGCTGTATAAATTAAACTTAAGCACATTTTAGTTTTGGATAGTACAATTATTGGAATTCAACTCTCCGCTCAAAGCAGTTCAGTTTGCACTTCAGAAAATGTCCTGAAAACAGGATCAGGTTCACAGATTAGGATTTTACGGTTTCCCACTCTGCAGGAATAATATATACTAAATGGCATGTTCTTGGTTGATTTCTTTGTACAATGCAGATAATTCCTGAGAAGGATGGTGGCCTATGAATTCTGCTGTAAATGTGAAGAATGTAAAAGCTGCAAGAAGTACATCATTTGTCTGAAAAGAAGATATGGGTGAGAACAGATTACTATATGCCCTAGTTTAACTTGGATTGTCCCAATTAAACATGCACTGGTTTTAAAAAAAGGTTCAGGAAGTAGGGCTAAGGAACAGCAAAGGGAGAGAATAATATTTGTCACTCCCTTCCCCCACTTGCCTTTTCCAGGAAAGGAAAAGAGTTCCAATAATTAAATGTGTGCTCCGGATTAACTGAATAAACTCCCTCCTTCCTTTGCTTTTACAAGTTATGCAGGCAAATGAAGAAACATTGAAAAAATGCTAAACCCTCTGCCCTGATTTTACTGCTTAAAAATATAGTAAATGTGTGGGATTGCAAAATTGGAGCCAGGTGATCAACGTTTAAAACATTTGTATGTCCTCTCTTCATAGTCTCTCATGGCTGAGTTCACACATCATGTTAGAATAGGCTAAAATGGCATTGGATCATTTGTAATTCATCATATTGTGGGAAGCCAGCCTTAGCTTGATAAGTCATAATAAGTGTTATTGCAACTTGATAAATCATAATAGGGATTATTTGGTTAGGTATAACATGTTACATGAACACAGCAACTGTTTTTGTTAAATTTAAATTAGGTTTCAGTGTTCTCTGTGAGCACAGCTACTGTATTCATATTTGTACTCTGCCATTTATTAAAGGTTTAGATGATTAAAAAGTGTAAACTTACATATCACCAAAAACATAAGCAAACATAATTATCAATATATTTGTATAAATGGTTATGTGTGCATGTTGTGAGAAAACAGCAACATATAATGGCTGGAATTAATCGAATAGGTTTTGTTCTTCTTAAATTTAACAGCAAAGGCTAGGCCTGAATAGGAAA